ACTATATACATACCATACAAAACTTATTTATTTACATTACTAACACCTAAATATTCATTTTTACATGCACATCACATAAAAAATATCTCCATCATGTCTTTTTGGAAGTGGAATACACATTTTCATGCATAGGTTCATTACACCATGATGTTGGAAGTGTAAGTATTAGAATTTGGGTGTTAGATATGTAAATACATAAGAATTATGTGCTGTATGTATAGAAGACATTTGTTGGACATGAATGGCAGGGCTAACACTGCATCAGTATGTACCTGTGGCAATGATATATTTTTCTTAAGTTACTATGAAAAATTTATCTTAATGTTTACTTTTTTCTTTTTAATTATTTATTTATTTTCAATTATTAGTTTTCTTACAATGTATTTTAAATTAATTTTGATTAGAGGGCTTTCTATGATATAGGGGTTTTTCAATTATTTGTTAAGTGGATCAGATTGTTTTGTGTCTGACTATAATTTTGCTGGCGGTGAAGGGAGAAAAAAATAATAATACTATGTATACCCAGCAGATTATTTATAAAATATTTAACAGCATTATTAAGCGTAATTTTATGTTAGCAATCTTATTATGGTCTGAAAACCATAACATAATTCAAAATCTTTGATGCAGCCAATCAGCGAAAGACAATTTGGCAAACTGCTCATATTTTGAAAATGCAGTAGGGAAAAAATTTGCGTACGTCAAGGGGTATGCATCTCTGCGTACATAATAGTGTACACGGGAGTTACATGGGAGTTAAAAGCGTGTACATGAGAGTTACATAGGAGTTACAAGCATGTATAATTGTTACAGCGGGGTTACACGGGATTTACACGGGAGGTTACACGGGGGTTACACGGGAGGTACAATAGGTTATAACCCCCTTGTAATTTCTGTATAAACTCCAATATACTCTATTATGAACGCAGAGATGCGTACCCCTGATGTACGCAAATTTTTTCCATGCAGTAGAGGCGACACGCCTTGTGGAATGAAATTAGGGAATACATGTACTAACAAGCACAACTTAAATAATTGGGCTTGTGGAATATACTGCTCAATTCCTTTGTATTTAAATATCTAACACCGAAAATTCAATTTTTACGTACATACCACTACCTTTTGCATGAGAAGCTTTCATTTTTTTTTTTTTAAAGAAATTAAGATTGTGGAATTTTAGTTGTGATATGAAAGATTTAGGTGGTATAAATGTAAAAAGGTATTAGATATATAAATATATATGAATTTGGTGTCATGATGTAAATGCCGCAATCAAATAGAAAACAAAAAAAATAATAATAAAAAAAAAAAAAAAAAAAAAAAAAAACAACTAAATGCCAATCCATGATGATTTGACAATTTAAGTGTAATCCTTGGCATTTAATTTTTTTGCTAAAATATTTATTATTATAAGTAAAAAATATATTTAAAAACTGAAAGTTGCTCATAAGTGAAAATTTTTTAATGCCAATCCATCATGATTTGCAAGTTTTTTGTCCTAGCATGGTTTTCCTCTTAATGGTTTTACTTAGAATTGGAGTTAGCCTAATGGGCTCCTTTCTATGTATCTCCTAAACTAGCACTCAGGATTGTGTCAATAAGCATTCTTCATGAATTGGTCAGCCTTCTACCTTTTATGATTAATGTTAGTCACCAATCTTTCTTTCCTAGAGTAGTTGGTTTTCCTCTTCGTGGTTTTACTTAAAATTAGAGTCAGCCTGATGGGCTCCATTCTTAGTATCTCATAGACTAGCTTTCAGGATTGATGATAGTCAGCAAGCTTTCTTTCCTGATCTAGTTGGCCTTCTATCTCCTAGGATTAATGTTATTCAGTAAGCTTTCTTTCCTAGCATAGTTGGTTTACCTCTTCGTGGATTCACTTAGAGTTGGAGTTAGCCTAATGGGCTCCTTTTTTTGTGTCTTCTAGACTAGCACTTACGATTCATGTTAGTCAACAAGTTTACTTTTTTTTTTATCTAGTTGGCCTTTTATCTCTTGGGATTGATGTTAGACAACAAACTTTCTTTCCTAGCTTAGTCGGTTTTTTCTCTTCATGGTTTCACTTAGAATTGGAGCAAACCTAATTAGCTCTTTTCTTAGTGTCTCCTAAACTAGCTCTCAGGATTGATGTTAGTCATCAAGCATTCTTTCTTGATCTAGTCGGTCTTCTACCACCTAAGATTGATGTTAGTTGGCTAGCTTTTTTTCCTAGCATAGTCAGTTTTTTTCTTTGTGGTTTCACATAGAATTGTAGTCAACCTAATGGGCTCCTTTTTTTTATTATCTTTTAGACTAGCTGTTAGGATTGATGCTTGTCAACAAGCGTTCTTTCCCAATCAATTTAGCATCTACCTCTTAGGATTGATGTTAGTCATCAAGTTTTCTTTCCTAGACTAATTAGTTTTCCTCTTTGTGGTTTCACTTAGAACTGGACTCAACCTAATGGGCTCATTTCATAGTACTCCTAAACTAACTCTCATGATTGATGTTACTCAGCAAGCATTCTTTATTGATCTAGTCAGTCTTCTACCCCTTATGATCGATGTTAATTAACAAGCTTTTTTTCCTAGCATACTTTATGGTTTCACTTATAATTGGGGTCAGCCTAATGGACCCTTTCTTAATGTCGTCTAGACTAGCTCTCAAGATTGATATTAGTCAGAAAGTGGTCTTTCCTGATCTAGTCAACCCTCTACTTTCATAGAATTGAAGTTAGTCAGCAAGCTTTCTTTCCTAGCGCAATTAGTTTTCCTATTCGTGGTTTCACTTATAATTTGAGAGCCTAATGAGCTCCTTGCTTAGTGTCTCCTAGCTAGGTCTCAGAATTGATATTATTCAGCAAGCATTCTTTTATAATCTAGTTTGCCTTTTACCTCCTAGGATTGATATTAGTCAACAAGCTTTCTTTCCTAGCGTAGTTAGTTTTCCTCTTTGTAGCTTCACTTGGAATTACAGTCAACCTAATGCGCTCCTTTCTTAGTGTCTCCCGGCTGGCTCTCAGGTTGGATGTGAGTCCCAATGATTTCCTTTCTGATATAGTCACCCTGTAAACCTCCTAGGTAGGGGTGTAAACGAACCGAACACGATTCGAAATTGTTCGTAAAGTCACTGTTCGTGTTCGTTTCTTAACGAACGAGCAGAACACGAACGAACACGAGCAGTTCGCGAACGACGAGCCAGTTTGACATCCCTAATATTAATATATAAAAATAATATTATATATTAATTATATAACTTATATTATATAAATATACAATATCTATATTAGTATATTACTACTATAGTATATTAATATATTATTATTATTATTTTATTATATATTATAATTTATAAAATTTAATGTTTTAAAATATAATAAATTTTTTATATATAATTATTTTATATTATTTTGTATTTCAAACAATAACGATTCGAACACGAACGAACGCATCACTGTTCGTGTTTGGTTCGTTTAACTAACCGAACGAAAAAAATTTGTTCGCGTTTGTCTCGTTTACTTATCGAACGAATCGAACACGAACTCATTGACGAACCGAACACGAACTGTTCGCGAACAACGAGCTTTTTTGACAGCCCTACTCCTAGGTTGGATGTGAATCTCAAATCTTTCTTTCCTGGTATAGTTAGGGTTGTCTCTTTGATCAACCCTTAGGTTGGATGTGAATCATTGCATTCATTCCTAATCTGATCGCCTCAATGAGATGTCATATTAGATATGAGTCCCAACACTTTCTTTCGTGGTTTGATCACCCTGACTAGCTCTGAAGGCGGATGCAAGTCCAAGTGCTTCTCTTCATGATCTAATCACTTTGTCTACCTCTTAGGATTGATGTAAGTTACTGAGCTTTATTTCCTAGTGTAGTTAGTTATTTCTTAGAATAGGTGTGATCCTTTCACAACTTTCTTTCTTGATCATCTCGAATCAAAATTCTCAAGCAACATATGCCTAAAATTCCCATTATAAATAATAATGGATCCTATATGTAGGAGCTTCCAAACTCACAAACCTATGAAATTCCAACTCAAACCATTCAAATTTCTAAATCAAATTTCTAATGTTTGGATTCAAATCTTAAGCTTAAATCTAAATTCAAATCTAGGTAGCTGTTGACATCAATGTTTTATATCACGAGTGAAAGGTGTCCACCTGCACGACTCAAGATAGTCTACGTTTCGTCTGTAGCATCCGACAACTCAAGACACCCACCCGGGACCTTCTGACACTTGTTTGGAACAAGTAGCCAACTTTGGTGTCAATGTACTCATACCTAGAAAATTTCCCTCGGCTATCCATGAAGATAGGCATGGTTGGTGCCTAATATGATGATTAGAAGTCACTACACGTCCATTCGAAGCCTGCCACGAAAATATGAAGTCGCAGAGCACACCTACGCGCTATATGGGAAAATTAGGGCTCGAGACACCTTACCCGCGCCGCGACATAGGACGATAGCTGGCAGTGATTTCCCCTGCATATGGCCAATAAAAATACTCTATTTTGGAGCTATGAGACCATGTTTTACTCTTACGGATCCTCCAATAACTTCTGGATCGAGAAAATCCTCTGTCGAGCGCTTCTGATGAAAATTAGGGTTTCAGACTAGAACGACGCCCTGAGGCCGACTCCAGGGGCCCACACACATAAAATACCTTTCGGGACCGTCAAGCTTAGCCTCTAGAGGAATAACACATGTTTACAACATTTGAAACATACTCGGAGCCTAGGCGCCAAAAAATGGGGTGTTAAGACTCTCAAACGGGCTAAAAAC